TACTCCTTTGTTTTTAGCTTGGCTAAGCTTTAAAGAAAAAATTGAAGTACAAGTCATTCTTCAGCTTGGCCTGGCTGAACTAGGCTGGCTTTAGAATAAGATGCATCTTACCACATATTGTATCTTAGCATAGTGTCTGCTCCACAATGAATGTCTTGATGAATAGAAAATCCTGTGGTAGGATTTCAAAGGATAAAGTTTTATTCTTCAAAATCTAACACATTAAAAACATTTTTCAGTATTTTTTTATCCAGTGCACTGTATAGTATCTAATTTTAGAAGCCATGCCTTCAATTGATACATTTGATTTTTCTCATATTTTGTTTAGAATAGGGGAGGTTAAATGTTAGAGTTCAGAAGGGGTCTCATGAATGCAAAATTAATTATTTTAAGATTATAACAGAATGGTGATTATACAGATATGTGCTTTCAGTGAGGAGGCTCTGTGTATAAAATTCATGCTTGAATGGAATTCCTCCTACCAAAGAAAAAAATCAAAATTGCCTTGGATAACACAACATGAACATAATAAAAATGAAATTCAAATAATCATATAATTTTAGCAGATACAATAAAATGATTCTTCCATTTTATTTTAATCTTCAAAATACAAGAAGGGAGTTACTCATAATAATTTTGAAAAAATTGGAACACTATCCTTATATTTTAAATAAAACATCTCTTAAAACAGATGGGTGTGAGTTATAATATATCTTTTAATGTCCTTTTTAGGTAAATAGAACCTTGTTTCCATAATTGAGAGCAAAGAGGCTTAGTACTTTTAATGTTAGTATAAAATGGGGTTACTTAGCAATATTCAAATGAGCTAGAGTCTCTCTTTTGGAACTAGTTATAAAACAGTAGTTCATGTGAGTGTGTCAGGTTCAGGAAAAGGAAGTAATTTCTTAGCAGCTAAATTTTAACAAGACAGGACACTGTGTAATTAAATGAAAACAACCCAAACTGTCGGTAAATTTTGTGCAGATTAATTTAATCAAATCACACTAATTATACATGTACTGTTAGGTGTAGATCATAATCATTCACTAATTTTTCCTAAGTGCCTGATAAGCTCTTCATAGAATTGGCCATAAAAGCAAAGTCTCAGTTCTCATCTGAAATCATATCTTTGTGTATTTTTTCCATTCTCCTTTTGGTTCATAATGCACATTTCTTAGTATTCAACCCATTACCTGTTTCAAAAGGTCCCTTTGCAAATGCTTGATGTATTTCAGCACCAGCTTACATGCCTCACCTGAAAAATCTGCTACTGAAATCAAGATGTTAAAAATGGACCTTTAAAAATTAGGATTTTAAAAGTTAAATTCTTTCTCTAGCTCTCCCACACTGACAGTGGAAACTTTTCTGGGCCCAAGGAGTCTTCAACAGAACCAGGTTTTCAACATTTTTTGAGCACTTTGGTGGGTCAAAACCTGGATAAAAGGACATATGCATAGTTTCTAGCTTTTGTCTTACACCTTCTATAGACTAGCATCCTTCTGTGCTTTCTAGAGGGGTTACTAGGTACTCTCCCACTTTAGCCAAATTGTGAATAAACTCATTCCCCCTTTCTTATGGGCTTTTCTCTTACTGTTGATGATGAGCAGGAGAATGAACCCAGACAGTTGGGACTACATCAAGGCCTCTGGTAATATTATTACTATATTTCCTTTTATGTGATGTCTTCTCATTCTTCACAGCCTCCCTTCTTTCCAAACCTATTCCAATGTAGATTATAACACTTATAAATAATGAGGAAATAGAAATTATATTAACATAACAAGAAATTATATGATCATTCATGATAAAAGATATGTCCCAAGACAGATTTACACAGTTAAAACTTTAAAAATTTGAATCAAACTTTCTTTTGATATGTCAAAGTAATTTACTCTTTAAAGTTGTTTTTATGTAAACATTTTAAAGAAATCATTTTCAGATAAATGCCTATTCACATTTTATTCCGCAGTGTTTGTTCAAACTGAAGTATATCCACTAGGCAATAAAATTTTCTGGCTGTCTCATTCCCTTTAACTGGAAATACAAAAAGTTTTTGGAAACTAAGTACATTTATAAAAAAAGTTTTATAGAAAGTTTCAACAGAATGCCAATGCTCAATGGCATTATCTTGATAACTTTGAGATAGATTATCTATGATCTTTTGTTATAATTTTGCTTGTATTCTAATACTTTTAACAGGGATTCTGTGTCTTGACTAATAGCATCTCTATTCAAATAGTTGTTTGATCTAGAAATATTAATGTCATCTTTAAAGCCTCTTTGCCTTATAGTTTATATCTAATTACTTACTGAATCTTGTAAATTGTGTATTCATAATGATTTTCAGTTCTCTCCTCTTCTCTTTAACCTAATTGTCACTACCCTAATTAAAGTAATATGGCCTTTTGGTCTCCAGTATGTAATAATGCTTAATTAGCCTGCTACCATGCTGCCTTGTCCTTCAATCTTTCCTGTCTTTACATTATTGTCAATAATATATTCTAGGATATGCATCTATTATTGTTATTTCTCTATTTGAATAAATTGATGTATGCCTCTTAGTCACTATAGAAAAACCTTCAAATTCCTTGTAATATCACTCAAGTACCTGCGCAATTATTTCTAAAATACTCAGCCCTTTCAAACTATCCACATTTCCATCAATCTCCTCATTTACTGCCCCGCATTTCTGTGTCTTCTCTCTTTCCTCATTTGCATGGCCTTTTCTCCAACCACCTTTACTAAATTTTTAGATTTGATTCATATTTTATGTTTCTGTGAAACTTTCTTCAGCCCTTTCTTTGGTATTTCCGTACATTTTTATCAGACCTTTAGGACAATACTCAATGCACTGAGTTGCAAGAAAGCATGTCTGTCTATGTGTCAAAGCATAAACTCCTTGAAGGCAACATTTTGCTATGTTATATATGGAATATTCATGTTCACTATAAAATGAAGCAATCAGGGGCCAGGGATGTAGCTCAGTAGCACTGCACCTACCTGGCAAATGCAAGGTCCTGAGTTCGACCCCCGGTACCAAAAAATAAATAAATAAAATGAAGCAATCAATGTATATTTTGTTCCCCAAAATTCTCTGAGCAGTAAGATAATTCTGAGACTTTTATAAAATAACTAGATCATACTAATTGCCACTTAGTTGAAACTTCTTAAATTCAGAGATATTTTTAATAAAGATATAATCCATGGTTTTTCAAAGTTACTTTTTGGAGTATAAATATTCTGGTAACCTAATTTTTTATTTAATTATGTAGTCTGATCTAAATTTAAAACAGCACTATTAGAGACTCCACAGCCCTGTTACCACATAAGAGAAAAAGTCTAGCTGGATATCAAAATTGATTTTAAAAAACCTGTGTAGAGCATATATCAAACTTGGGTTACTAATTTAATTAGTATCATAAATCTAGTTACTGTATTCCTATTTTAAAAGCAGTCAAAATAGTATTTAGTTAAGTGGCTTCAAATGTACCTATATAGGCCTGTAGTGAAAAGAGTCTATTAGTTGTCTCATTTTATTCTTTAGATATATTGCATGTGGTACAATATTTATGAACATTACCTTTTATAACTCTTATATGATAATTTAAAATATTTTCTAGGGCTGGAAAATATGTTTAATATAAAATTTTATATATATTTTTCTAGAACTCCAAAATCATTCAAGTTATATACCTATAAAAATAAAAGAGAAAAAAATAAAGACCTTAAAATGAAAAACAATTATGATATTTTCCAATTAAAAGATGGAGTTGAAAATATAATTTTTCCTAAAATAAACAATTTATTTTCATACTTGATAGACTTATGAAGCTTTTTATTTAACTTGAAAAATCAGTAGGTACTGCTACCTTACGTATCAAATTCAGGACTTAATTTATTTTCCTTAGAACCATATTGACAAATTAATATAGAGAATTTCTACAAAGCAAACATAGCAAAGGAATAAAATATTTCACTCATAATATTAAGCTCGAATCCATTCTGGAGTAATTGAATATGGTAAAGTTAAAAAAGCTCATAGAAAAATGAAATAAAAGGGAATTAAATAATGGAGTTGCATGTTTTAAAATAAAGTGTAAAGTTAGAGAAAGAAAATAGATTAAAAACATCTTAAATAGTTGTAGTGACTTATTTTTCTTTGAAGCTGATTGTCAAATGAGTCAATGGCAGAGAATTTTAAGAAGCAACAAACCACATTATAATCTTACAAACTTGTAGTTTTAACATACCTGAACAGAGACATTGAGACTCAATAAAACAACAGCAAAGAGATCAACAGGTTGAATTTGCTTTGAATCATTCAAAAATAAACTATTTGTGGGTAAAATTGATATCATATAATTTATTGGTGACAGTTTGGTTCTAAAGTTTTAGCCTTTTGTTCCCGCTCAAATTTTCCCTAAGTATCATTTGAAGAAAGATTTAGACAGCCTTCTTATGTGTCAAAGAATCTTGCATTGTTCATTTTCAAGTATGCTTGCATCATTCCTAACAATAGAAAAGTCACTGTCATTTCCTAACCACTGCTTCCTTACTATTCTTGAGTTATCAATTGGTTGCTTTATTGGCCTATGATGAGCTCTAATTATTGAAGCATCAAAAATATCTCAGGCAAAGACAGATTTGTACAGGGAGTAGTCATGACAAGGATCTCAAGAATAATGTTAAAGTTCTGGCATATTACAAAGAAAAGAGTCAGATATAAGATTTTTTTTAAAGTAGGTCCTTAGCTATAGCAGATGCCTCTTAGTTGAATACTTATGTGAATTTAGGAAACTGATAAATGAGAGCAGAAAATTGAGAAAGCAAAAGCAGAATTACTCTAATAACATTCAAAATTATAAAAATAAGCAGACCAGGGATTTAGCTCAGTGGTTCCACCACCTGCCACGCAAGAGCAAGGTCCCAAGTTCAATCCCTAGTACTGAAGAAAAAAAAAAAAAAAGCAAACTACCTTGGACAAAAACATGTAAACTTACAGTTGTTGTATAAGCAGCTTCTGGATCATCTTCCAGCACTCGAGAGAGACCAAAATCAGAAACTTTGCAAACTAAATTGCTGTTCACCAATATATTCCTAGCTGCTAGGTCTCGATGAACATAACCCATATCTGATAGGTACTTCATGCCTGATGCAATGCCTCGGAGCATGCCGACCAACTGGATGACTGTGAAGTGGCCATCATGTTTCTGCAAGAGAAGCAAAATTGTTTAAATTGATTGCTTTTAAAGCAGTGTGCATGTGTGCATATGTGTATGCTAAATAAACCTCTTGGATTTATTTTACTAGTCCAATGAGGATAAGCATCATGTTTGGTGACCATTGATTTTGTTCATAAAGCAATATAAGAATTTTATATCTAATGAATGAAAAGGGAAAAAGTCTAGCTGAAACGATAAGGAAGAACTAAACAAAGGATAGCAGAGAACCAAACAAAATTCCAATGATCTTAAAAACTTGTGGTAATGAGGGAACTAAAGTCAAAATAATGTGAAAGCAAAGGCTATGAGAAAATAGAGTGTGGTTTTTTGGCTGTGGGCTTTGAACCAGCGCACAGGTGGTCAGAAGGGCAGGAAAGCCTATTACTGGATGAAACCTGTGTGGTAACTATAAATTCTATGAAAAAATGGCAGAGCAGGTCATTCAGGAAAAAGAAAAAGTGATACCATAACTAAGAAAAAAATTGAGGAAAGCAGCAGCAAAAATAAAAACATATACAAACAAACAGAAAGTAACTAGATTTTTATTTTTAATTTTAGGAGACAAAAAGAAAGGAATTGACAATTTACTGAAAATAAGACTGCTCTAACTCCTGGTTGGGAAGATTAAATTAAATGATGTATTATGAATAATGTGCCAGGCTAAGTAAGGCTATGTAATAGTCAATTACATCTTATTCCCTCCACCTTGATTTAAAAACAATGTAGATTTTACAAATGAGTTAAAATAGAATCTAACTGTCATCTATGCAAGATGCATTCACCAACCCAAGCAGATACAAATAGTATCCTTAAAATTAGAGAAAACTAAAATAAAAATGTTTAAGTTTGAAAAATAATGCACGTTGTTCTACTTAGTTATTTGTAGACTGCTGTCTTTAAATGGAATTATAGGGAAACATTAAAAATTCTAATTTTTATTTATCAGAAAAATTAAGAATAATAAATTCCTAGTAAGAGATTATAGGGGTATATTATTTTATATGATATAGAAGAAGCACAAATAAAAGTATTTTAAAATCTTTCCAATTCAAAGCAGTTTTCACAGACATTTGATTTAAAGTTTCAGTGAATCTGTAATCCTAGCATTCATAGAGGCTGAGGCAGGAGGATCACAAATTTGAGCCCAGCCTGTGCAACTTAGTTACTTAGCAAGATCCTGTCTCAAAAACAAATTAAAAAGGCTAGGAATGTAGCTCAGTGTGAAGTACCTGAGTTCATTCCCCAGTATCAAAAGTAAAATAAAACAATATGCCACAGTGTAGCCTAACACAGGGATGATCTGATAGTATCTGTCGTAGTGATTTTGCCTCCTATACAGTCATGATTCATTGGCCAGTTAAATGAATGAACCTATGTACTACAAATGAAACAAACTTTGTCTTACGTATCAATTTATCTCCCTAACAGTTCTTAGATAATATCTCCTACCTCAAGTGCAGAGTAAAGAACTCTCTCTTAAGAGGCACTCTTACAGCCAGAGTATCCATTTAAGCAGGCTCTTCCATATAATTAATGTACAAGTGATAACCTAGCAGAGAAAATCTTTGATGTTATTAGCTCTTTATGTTTTGAATCCATCTTCTTAGACAGTACACTATTAAATGAAATCTGCCTCTTTTATCATATACTCTACCCTCCACCTACCTCCTCTCTATTTGGAAACTCACAACTTCTGAGAATTGAGAGCATAAATTATTTTGGCCTAGAAAGGACTTCACTAAATTTGAAAAGGCTATCTCTCTTATCGCTTAAAAACTGCAGTTGCTTCCTATCACAGTTATTCTCAAGCAGGATTTCTAAGTAGTAGGAAATGTTGACAGACCACGTGAAAGCTACAGCATGCCTCAGTTTCCTTATCTGCACAGGAGCATAGTCATTTAACTTAGAATTGTAGGGAGAATTTCATATAAAACACAGCATAGCTCCTAAATTATTCTAATAATTATTATTTATTAAATCCTGTGATTATTACATAAAATTTTTATAATTTTATTGAGTCAGAAAATTCTCTTGGTTTCCTGAAAAATGAAGTGTCAACATAAGCTTCTGTGTACATGAAGAGAAACATAAGACCAGGTTGAAAATTAATTTCCTATCTATTTTGAGGGTGTACAAGCATCAAATACTGTTAACAGCTTTATCAAGACAAAATTCCCATGCTATTCACTTTATTCTCTTGAGGTATACAATTTATTTTTTAGTGTATTAGCAAGTTATGCGACTAACATCAAAATTCATTTTAGAACTTTTTCTCACCTCCAAAAGAAATCCTACATTTACTAGCAATCACTCTACTTCACCCCAAAGTCCCCCCAGCCACAGAAAAACACTAATCTTTCTACCTAAAATTTTGCCTATTCTTAATAATTCCTATAAGTAAAAAACATGTTGTGTTTTTTTTACTATCCTTTTCATTTAGTATACTGTTTTCAAGATTCATCCACAATGTAACATGCATCAGTATTTTCTTTTTTATTGTTAAAACATTTTTATGCCATTTGTATACTTTTTTATTCATTTATCAGTTGACAGATATTTGAGTTATTTCATCTTTTGAGCTATTATGGAGGGTATTTTAACATTGTTTATTTTAAATATTCTCATCAGTAACATTTGAAGAGATTTGGATTAACTGCTTTTATACCAAGCACAGGGCAATCAGGGTTTTGATAACAGTAAGTGGTATCATTTTTAAAATGAGATTTTGATATGTGAAAATAATCTAAACTACTTTCCCCGTGTTCTCTCATTACTAATAGACAACATATTTTAGTAATTTCTAATTCAATTGGCCAAAACTACTTTTTTTGGGGGTAGTAGGAGGTCAAAACTATTTTCAGAACAATACTAAGACATATAGCTGCCTTTCCCCTCCTAGATTGATGTGTGTGCTAATAGTATAATGCTGTAATGGATAAGACTCAGGGTCCTTAACATGTATTGAGGCAGTAGCACCAAATCAAATCTTATTAGTATTTTCATATTTGTTTGTTGCATTGACAACAAACAGAAACGATTAGAGAATGCTGTTAATACATGCAGCAAAACTTATTAATTACATTGAATTTAGATCTGTGATTATATACTCTAAGGATCAACACCTGTGAGGAAGAGCAGACAGCAGGAGAAAGAAAGCAAGACTGGCAACAGGGGAAGGTAATGGGCATCACATTCACAACCAAGGCCTTCAAGCATCTATAGGTGCTGATGTTCTAGATAAGGAATCACCCGTCAGAGTTGCCTGAATTTGAGGAAAAAAGGCAAGATCCTTGCACACCCACATCAGAGAATTCCTGGATTCAGGCTGAGTTTGTGAAGATGTTGTGGTCTTGGGTCAGTGGCTTTCTCTAGCTGAGGATGTTTTCCAGAGAAGGATTCAGGTAAGAACTATCAGTCTGAAAACTCCAGAAGCTATATGATGAGCTGATTATAGAGGTCACACTAAGAAAGGCCCTGTATACAAATCTGTTGTTATAATTTGATTTCTGGGGGTTTAACCTCTGACAGTCTCTAAATCTGTATTTTTATCCATCCATCCATCCATCCATCCACTTTTTGAGATGTGAACTTGATAAAAGAGAAGCTCCCCAAATAGTTCTATATTCTTTTGGTAATGCATATTTTAACTACTCCCATGTTGTTCTAGGGAAAAAATAGGTCACATAAAACACTCTAATCCAATCACAAGCTAAGATTTTAACATGTATTATCTCATTTAATTCTCAAAGTATCTGAAATATTTCTATTTATCACTCTTACCATGTAGATGGTCAAATTGAACAAGAACAAGATTTTTGTTTTCGGTACTGGGGATTGAACTTGGGTCCTTGTGCTTTCGAGGCAGGCGCCGGAACCACTGAGCTAAATCCCCAGCCCAAGATTTAATAATTAGTAAGTGGTAGAGTTAAGATCTGAAGTTAGACAATATAATTAAAAAGTATGTATTCTTGTCTATTAGAGTTTTTGGGAAAAAAAGCTGGTCCTATTTTATACCTCACTTTGGCCTAATTTGGGCAGCACAATTCGGCATGATAAAGCAAGGTCTGAAGGACCTCTGAGACCAAGTCAAAACTAAACAAATGAGGACACTCCAGAAAAACAAATGAGGAACCTATATGTGGCTGAGAATAGAACCATTTAATAATACATGATGTATGGCACAAATCTATTTCTCTAGAAATAATTCAACTCTCTTCTTCAAACAAAATTGTTATTCTCTTTTCTACTCCATGTCAATGTAGCCTCCTAAGTTTTGTTTAAAACATTCTGGTTTCCTTGAATATGGGGGATAGCTAATAAATGGTGACTAAATTAAATAATCTTTAGTACTATCTCATAGTGCACTGGTTGCTACTGCTACATTATCCCTATTGTCCTGTACACAATACACTGTCTTTTTTTTCTAAGGCCAAACAAGAGTTTTGTCCCTTTTATGTAGCAGTTCTATTACAGCATCCACTGTGCTGCTATGCACTGTGTCAGGGCTCAATAAATATTAATTCAAATCAAATTGAATTGTTTATGAGGGGAGGAGAAAATATGAGAGTGCTGAGATTTAATATCTTTGGGCTTCTTACTGGAGATTAATCAAAAAGAAATTATGAATTTTTTTTATGACATATGGTTTCTTCCCAGAAAGGCAGATTCAAATGAATGAGAGTGATATTGGCATATTTACACACTGCATCTCAGAGCTTAGTAGCTAGAATTCTGGTTGTCTTCACCCTGCTATTTCTTTTCTCACTGAACCTGATTGCTGAAAAACATGGAGTTTATTCTCTAGCTGACAGAAAGGGTTAGCCTGATTGGAAGGGGTTTCTGAAAGGGATACATATTAATGTCTATTTTGAAAGCTGCTGAGCTCCATCAGACACTCTCAGACTCTGCAGCACAGCAACCTCAGATCTTACCAGTCACTGGCATGTCACAATGTCTCCACACAAGCTCTTTCCCATGGTTTTCGAGGG